GACCAATACAACTTTGACTATACTACGCTTCTAGTAGATGACCTCGATCCTCCAAGACGTCTCACTGTTGTGTGTTTCTCTGGTTCCACCAACTCACTGTTCAAGTTGGTTTGAATAAATTCATTTTTGTAATTATTCACAGAATAATCTCTGTAGTGCAAGTAGTGAAGTTTTATGAACATATTTTATTGGTAATACAAGTGAAGATATTTGTGTTGCATATCTCATTTGATCTTAGACTTATTAGTAATTTTACAATTCCTTTCCTACTGTCGAAGATGCTTCATGTTCTCTGTCAATAATGAAGCATTTTTTTTTTGAGTTTGGTGATTGCCAATTTAATTCTCTTGTATTAAGAAATTTATTCCACTTTTTGAAACCATTCGATAAATTCATCTGGATCCATGCGACCATTGAAATTCTATAAATCTATCTTTACTCCAATATCCCAACTTTTTTTGGTATTCATTTTCTTCTCTCAATCTGATTATTTACTGTAGTAGCTATGAGTGACCTCATTTGATTTCCTTTATTCAAAATTAGAAAAATTTTGTTGCATTTGAAGGATTTTCTACTGCATATCCTCTATAATAAGGTCCTGGCCTCCTCTTTGCATAATTCTCCTGTCAAAATTTTGAGAAAAATAGACTGAATTCTGAATATACTCGATGACTTTTCCCTTTGCTTTTTTTCCATTAAATAATAATCTTATAATCTATTTTAGGTACAAAATATTATGTATAATCTCTTTTAAGTAATTTAATAATACATATTCATAATCTAAATATTCAGCTAAAAGGGAAATAAATCATAATAAGAGGGGTCTGCTTCCAGTTACATGATCCAAATGCTATCAATCATAGCCTACAAGTAGGATCCGCGTCCTGATCAAAATGCTACCGATCATAGCTTACAAATAGGATCCAATACACGATCCAAATGCTATCTACCATAACCTACAAGTAGGATCCGCGTCCTAATCCAAATGTCACCGAACATAGCCCACAAATAGATTCTAGTTACACGATCCAAATGCTATCGATCACAACCTACAGGTAGGATTTGCATCCTGATCCAAATGCTATTGATTTTTCCTACGACGATGAGGACGATTTGTTCCCTGATCTTCACGCAAAATGTGTTGAAGTCGAGATGCCGATGCCGAGATTGCCAAAGCCGTCAGTGCCCAAGTGGTGAGTGTCGTCATAGGGTTTATTGGTTCTCCAAGGACTGAAGCAGGTGTTTCAGTAGTAATTCCATCGTTCGCCATTGTTGCAACTTTGTCTCCCCAAGATTTAGAAGCATAGGCAAAGGATAGAAACAATGAGTTTGTTATAAGTTAAAGTTAAGGCCTTTGGGATTTAAGGACATGATCGACTGCCGATGCTGTTTATAAACCATATCGAAGTGATGAAGGGAGAGCCTCTCCGATGATATTTGGGCGAATTCTGGGAGCCGAAGGCGATGCAGGCAAATAAATAATGGGACGATGAGTAAACGAGCGAGAATCAAGACAAAGAAATAGTTCTTCCTTCCCGTCTAGCAAGAAAGCCAGCGACAAGGGAGTCCTGACAGTTCTCCAATGATTATCGGTGGTTAGGGCAAAGATTTGACTCTTATATCATGCTAAAGTTTTGAGAAATATAGGCTGAATTCTGAATATGCTTGATGCCTTTCCCCTTTGCTTTCATTTCATTAAATAATAACCTTACAATCTATTATAGGTACAAAATATTCTGTATAATTTATTTTAGGTAACTTAATAATGCATAATTCTAATCAAAATCTTCAACTTACAGAGAAATAAATCAGAATAAAGAAATTGAAAATAATCTAAATAAGGAAGCTCCTAATTATAAAAAACTCTTAATGTAGCTGTTTGATTTCCGTCATTCTTGATTGATATCTCCTAGGTGGCATTGTAACATTTTCTTTCAATTAATGTTTTTTTTTGTAGCTGTCTGATTTCCGTCCTTCCTGATTGATATCTCCTAGGTGACATTGTAACATTTTCTTTCAATTAATGTTTTTTTTTTGAAATTTTAGGCTTTGAGTTTTGAATTGCAGTATGAATGATTTGGGGTATGATGTTTTTTTATTTGGGCGAATTCTGGGAGCCGAAGGCGATGCAGGCAAATAAATAATGGGACGATGAGTAAACGAGCGAGAATCAAGACAAAGAAATAGTTCTTCCTTCCCGTCTAGCAAGAAAGCCAGCGACAAGGGAGTCCTGACAGTTCTCCAATGATTATCGGTGGTTAGGGCAAAGATTTGACTCTTATATCATGCTAAAGTTTTGAGAAATATAGGCTGAATTCTGAATATGCTTGATGCCTTTCCCCTTTGCTTTCATTTCATTAAATAATAACCTTACAATCTATTATAGGTACAAAATATTCTGTATAATTTATTTTAGGTAACTTAATAATGCATAATTCTAATCAAAATCTTCAACTTACAGAGAAATAAATCAGAATAAAGAAATTGAAAATAATCTAAATAAGGAAGCTCCTAATTATAAAAAACTCTTAATGTAGCTGTTTGATTTCCGTCATTCTTGATTGATATCTCCTAGGTGGCATTGTAACATTTTCTTTCAATTAATGTTTTTTTTTTGAAATTTTAGGCTTTGAGTTATGAATTGCAGTATGAATGATTTGGGGTATGATGTTTTTTAAATTTATTGTGGGGTGTTTGTTTAAGTTATTTAAAATTTTTGGTTGGGGCATTGATGGCTACCCAAGTGATCTAGTGTTTGTTGGACTCTGACATCAGATGATACCGTTTTAGGGCTCTTAGAAGGTGTTTAGGAAGGGGATTTAGTGGGGTGGTGGTTGTGGAATGACAAGGGAAAGGTAAATTCGAGTTCGGCGATTTTTGGATAGGATTGTGGGGTGTGTTGTATTTCAATTTCTCCTGTGCCATTGAGAGGGGAGGAGTGTCATGGAGTTTGACAAAGTGTGGATTAGCTTCAGTGTGGTGTAATTTGTACGATTCTTTTCGTTTTCTTTATAGTGGATATCTTGATGTGGTCTGTCTCCATGTTTCTTATTTCTGTTCTTGGGGTTTTTGACATTAAATCTTATGTTTTCTGTGATTTTCATGTTTTGTGCACTTCTATTCAAAGTTTTGCTTTAATTTTTTTTAAATCAGTTTATCTAATTTACATCTCCGAAGACCAAATAGGATATATGAAACATGAAAATAAAACAAGAAGGTAAAAAAAAAGATAATGAGATTAAACCATCTATAGTGCTACCAACCATAGGGAGCCAATTGATTTGTTGGACTAAAAAAAGCATATAAATAAAAATTGGCCCAAGCTATTAGAGAAAATCTTTGTGAGCATTAAACATATTCCTCTAGATTTGATGTAGTTTTTGAAGAACTCATGTTACCATTTAAATATTTCTAAAAATTTGACAACTTGTTTAACAACCAAAAATAGACTTGAAACCAGCTCGAAAGACAATTTTTTTTTTTTTTGGAAATTATCTTAGGTAAAGTGAGAAGTTTTATGCTCAGCTTTTAGATTTAAACTTGCTAGCTTGAAGACGAGCTGTATATTAAAAGACCTTTTGGTGGACGACATTGACTGTGCCTATTGGCGCCGATGATTGTAGGCGGTGGTTGGGGGTTTCTGTTGGCAACGACTGACGAGGGGCAACGTGTATGGGCAAGCAAGCGACATGTAAGGTCGGGTGGGGCCGATGGCTGTGGTGGCAAGCCGTGGCAGCAGTGTAATTGGTGCTCATGGTTGATACTGCGGGTGCGGTGGCTGCCACCATTTGTAGTGGGAAATCATTGAAATTTGAAAAATTTCAAATGCACTTGAATAAAACTACCTTTTGCATTTGAAATTTGTTGCAATTTTACACGGAATTCTTTTTTCAACAAACCAAAGAATTAAATTGTTGAATCCCCTGCATTTGAAATGCAGTACACTCCTTTTTCAGCCAACCAAATTACCGCTAACTTCTGGTAATTTGAAATACATTAGTTTTTAATTGTAATATTAATTTCAAGGGGCAATTACATATTGAGTATTTAGAACATTGTTATTTATAAATCAAGCACCTTTTTTCATCTTTTTTTTCAATTCACACTCAAATATCAAAATTCATGAGAAAACCCCAACCTTTATTTTTCATTTTTATCAAATTCTCAATGATTTTGTTGTGGTACTCGTAAGTGCATCAGTTAAGTAGTTTAAAGAATAATCTTGGTGCTTAATTTGTGAAAATGAATGTTTTGAGTGCTCTGTATGTAATTATCCCTGATTTCAAATTCATTAAAATTTTGCGCTGCATTCTTTCTTCTACTATCCAAACACCAAAATTTATGTAACCCTTGCATTCCATTTACACTACACTAATTAGGGTAACCAAATGACTCCTTAATATAGTACCTAAAGACTATTCGGGACTCCATTTTGAAGAAAAAAAATATCTACTATATTTATTCATCTAAAAAATGTCACCATGAACTTAATGGCAAGTGTATTTTAACTCCTTGTTCAATGTCCGTTTTTTCTGTATGAGATTATTGATTTCCGCTTTAACCCATTTAAGAACTGCTAAAGAAAGGCTACCTGCATTCCCTTTAGATTCACAATTTATATTTTTTTAATTCTAAATCGGATATCAAGCAAATTTCAATTACAATAGGTGAGGTTTTAGTAGGGCTATTGTTGTATGTTTTGAAAACTTTAGTGATGCAAAGAAAATTTTCTTGCAGAGACTAGCAAATTCTCCTCATTTTGGGCAGATTAAAGTAAATTGTAGTTGATGTTAACTTTTAAGAATAATTGTATAACTACATTGAAATTAGTTTTCATTTATTGAGGCGAGCCTCCCGATTTTTATGTCTATTGTAATTGTTGAGCTATTTCTTTCAATGCTTTTATGTATGTTTGGTATGCTCTGTTTGTCTATCTGTATAAAATTTTTTAATATTTTTACTGCCAATTTGCTCTTCTTAAAAATGCTACTTTCTCTTAGTGGTGCGTGGCTACTTTCTGGTGAATTTTCTAGAATGCTTTTAGATGGCCAGGAGGAGGAAAATGGATGTTTTTTGCTGACAACATCAGGTATGTATGTGGTTCTTAAACAAGATGAGATCTTAGTTGTTCCTTTTCATGTGTATGCTATAATGGTAGGCCTTTTCTCATATGTTGAAGTCACACCCGAGTTTGAACTCTCATGATCAAGCATAAGATTTGGCAAAGGCAGACTATTCAGTCAGATATATCTCATTAATACACATCCTGAATTTTACTAATTAAAATCGACTGAGTAAAAACCTGTTTAGTTTGATCATTAAAGAATGTACATTTCCTTTCATATTTATTCAATTGATTTTTCCAAAGTTTAAATTGCACAATTAGGTATTGATGCATTTGTTGTGGGTGGTAAAGATTAAGTATCAAATTCAATGAATGACACAAATTAAATAATATTACATTGAGTTAAAATATGGAGTAAAACATATGATACTAATTGTTGACCTCATTTTTAGTGAGGTGTAGTTTATTCTCATAGAATTTAGGGTCTAACCATAGGATTTTCCTTTTGAATATCCTAGATAACTAGTGATGGGACCCACCTCATTTTAGAGATCCAAACTACTTTACTCTTTTTGGAGTTTCACATGTGTGGTTCTTGGCCTCTATCACTCAGGAAATTGGAATCGACATGAAAGAACTCAAATCTTCACAATTTTACTTCACAAATCTTCATAATCTCTGCATTCATAAAATCTTAGCAAAATTGCATAATCTTTGCATTCATAAAATCTCAGCAAAATTTCAAAATCTCTGTAAATGTCCGCATTTACCAAATTTCTTCAGCACTCAGCATTCGGGATAGGCTTTAACCCTACTCCCTTCTCAGCAATCTCAACATTCAGAATGCGCACCCGACTCTCTTCTCAGCACTCAGAATTCGGGATAGGCTTCCACCTTTCTCCCTTCTCAGCAATCTCAGCATTCGGGGTAGACCTCTTATCTACTCCCTTCTCAACCTGCTACCTCTTGGGTTGGATGTGAGTCCTTGAGCTTTCCTTCTCAATATAGTGAAATCTCAAGATAGTGAAATTTTGTCTATCGGTCTTTAAGTTTGATGTGAGTCATTGTGCATAGTGAAATTTTTTCTATCGGTCTTTAAGTTTGATGTGAGTCATTGTGCTTTCCATCTCAAATTGATCTCCTTACTTTTCTAAAATTTGAAACTTTTCCACAAATCGAAATCAAATCAAATCAAATCAAAATCAAAATCAAAATTTAAATTGAAATCAGAATCAAAATCCAAATTGAAAATAAAAATGAAAATTTAAATTGAAATCAGAATCAAAATCCAAATTGAAATTGAAATCAAAATCAAAAGAAAAGCAAAGCAAATCAAATCCATATTTGAAATTTGAAAACATAAATTCACAGCTCCAAATTAAAAATTCACTTGCTAATTCCCCAGTAGAAATAACCCACTTAATTCTACGCTTTGTTCTACGCGTGGTGTGCTCGCCCAACACACCACACTTATTGGGGGTTCATTTGTTGATCTCATTTTTGTTGAGGTCTAGATTCTTCTAATAGAATTTAAGGTATAGCCATAGAACTTTTCTATGGACTATCTTAGATGACTAGTGATTGAACCCACTTCATTTTCGAGATCCAAACTAATTTACTCTTTTTGGAGTTTCACATGTGTAGTTCTTGACCTCTAGCACTTAGGAGGTTGGAACCAACATGAGGGAACTCAAAAATTGTCCCCATAGGACTATTAAGCACTAGTGTTGCCTTATTCATAATTTGCACACTCGCACACATAAATGCCACAATTCACATCACCTGCGCCTTTATATGCTTCATAATTAATCAAAATTTAAATAAAATTTTGAAATGATCGATCACGAATTACAATTTTAAGAAAAAAAATGAATTTGATGCATTTTTAACTTCACTGTCAACGAAATTGCCTCGGAAGACCCAAACGACGAAATGAACTGAGCCGGTGCTTCCGGAACGTTAAAGTCACCTAGAAAGGACATTCATTTTGCTATGGTTCCGTGCACATATAGCAAAATATTGATGCGTTTAAGTAAAAAAAAAGAAAATACCTATTTAAAATAAAACTCACGCACATAATTCTTAATACACCCGGTTCTCCCTTAATTCCCCTCTCACGCTCGCGGCTCGCCCCTTCTTCCCAGTCGGGACCCAGGCGAAGCCCTAGGCTTAACCCACCCTAGCAAACTCTCTCTCTTCTTTGCGAGACTTCGGCCCGAGGTCCCCTCTGCACCGCCTGCTCACCACTTCCCCCTGCACCACCTGTTCGCCACTTTCCTCGTCCTTGTCGGCTTAGACTCACCCCACAGGTAAGTTGAGGTAAGTTCTTCCCCCCTTCTGGCCATAAAAACCCCCAATTGGGAGAGGTTTCTGGTTGTTGATGCTTTGGTGGAGGGGAGTTGCTGCTGAAATTTTCTCTGGGCTTATGCTTGCATTTTTTTTTTAGCTTGACATCAAGAGATAACCTCTTTCCCTTCCTTAATCACTCGGTAATCTTGCTTGCTTTTCAATTGCCTTGCTCGGTTTCTCGATACACTTGCTGATTTTGGAGACATGTAAGAATTGATTATGCTATACATATACTTGCTGAATTTGGTTGAGTTTAGGCGTTGCTTGAGGTCTTTCTAAATACCATTTGGAAGTTTTAAGGATGCTAGTTGGGAGGGGCTTACTTACTACTTTGGAGCTATTCTTAAGGGCTTTTCGTACCATTCAAGCGTTGACCTTCTAGATATGTCTGGAAATGATTACATGTTGCTTTAGGCTAATTGCGGTTTCATTTGAAAGGGCTTTAAACACTTTTGGGGGCTAATCTAATTGTTGTTTTGAAAAGAATTTCAGCATTTTTTTAGGATAACCCATTCGCTGTTTTGCCTCTCTGCTTTTGTGGTTTCGGAAGTGGGTCGACCTCTTCCTTTCCTTTTGTTTCGTTTTGCTTTCTTTGCTCTTGGTTGATGATTTGATTTTTGGTGCTTTTGTTTCAACATAATTGCACCTATATAGCTTATGCTATATATGAATCATCAAACAAGACTATACGATAGATGGTTTTTGGGGTTTAAGGGTCATGATGACAAAGACATCTGGTGATAAAGCGGAATAATGTTACATCCCCTTACCCAAGTACTTGGTGAAGGTATGAAACCTGACGCGTGGACCTGACGAGTATGGGGCAATTTATTCGCTGGCACTAGACTATCAATGACCACTGATTTTTTTAGGCTGCAGGTAGTCCTAGCTCGACAGTGTGATTGACATGTGACAGTATTTTCAAACAATATAAAGATAAAACAAAACAAAAATATATTTCTTACGAAACTAATACTTTTGACTGTTACAAGAAATTCTACTTTTAAATGTATGAGAAACCGTTAAATTTTGAATGATACAATTTAAATGTCTACTTTTCAGTTACCTGTATTGAGTAAGAATTGCCCTCCTAAGATTGTCTTATTGGAACTTTCTAGTTGAATGCTGGGCTTTATACACGTGGATGACCGATGGTTGCCTACGGAGTCCTTAGGGAATGATAAATCTTAGTCTACCCCGAACCTGAATTCTCATAGTCCATTTTGGTCTTTTATAGGTCACTTGTTTGTTTATTTGTCACTTTCTTTTACTTAGTATTTGATTCTTACACATATTTACACATGTTTGCTATGTTAGCTAAATTTTGTACTTATTTATTTTTTCAACCGCGCTTTTACTGTCCTTCCGTTCCTGCATTTACACACAAAATCTGCAGAGCCCCTAGGGTAGAGAACAGTAAGACATGCTAGGAGATATGCTACCATAGGCCACTGACCCAACAATTGCATGTACACTTAAACGGTTCCTGCATTTACACACAGAATCTGCAGAGCCACTAGGGTAGAGAACAGTAAGACATGCTGGGAGATATGCTGCCATAGGCCACTGACCCAACAATTGCGTGTACACTTAAACCTTAACACTTAACTGCTACGACATGGAGCACGACGAAGCCGCAACAGACGGAGGATGACGATCTACAACAACAATACAAGTGTAAATCAGCTAAACCTTTACTTCTCACATAGCGCGACATAAACAATACAGCTAAACCTTTACTTAGTTTAAGTAACAAGTCATAGGACTTCGAGATGATCTGCATAGCGCGACATAAATCCTCACTCTATCTTTTAGGTCTTTGCAAAATCATATTGTAGCGTGAAAACCCCTATGATACATAATTAGATGCTTTGGGACTATATTGAATAAGTCCCACCACTAAGGGGAGATGTCAACGTCGGGTTCACGACTAAACATTTATTACATATCGATATTGTTAGTCAGTTTATGTATTATCCTTCTGAAGTTTATATGAATGCAATGGGTCAAATATTACATTACTTAAAATAGTTGACTTTAGGGAAAGTGCTTATGTTCTCAAACAATGGTTCAGCTAGATATCGAGGGTTATATTGATGTTGATTGGGCCAGGAATATACTTGATAGAAACTGAAACTTACATTGGTACTTCACATTCATTAGTGGTTTACTGCGTGTTTCTCCTGTGATAGACATTGAAACCTACATTGGTACAAACACAAAATCCTTGATTTTTCTTATAGCACATGCAGGAAACGTTTTATTTTCCCTTCAATAGTAGAAGCAGAGTCAGAAGATCTCTTTGCGACAGGGATATATGGCTAAATTGATAATGGGCAGTGATGTTTATGTGAGTCTTTGATATGGGACCTGTATTTTGATAATGGGCAGTGATGTTTATGTGAATCTTTGATATGGGACCTGTATTTTTCACTGAAGTAATTTTAAAGAAAAATATGTTCTTGTATTTCTTTTGCTCTCCTTGATACTTCAGTGGTTATGTACTTCCATGAGAATTGCTTGGCACTTTACTTAACAAATGGAGACCTAGGGAGACCGTATGGCTCCTTTGCAAATCCTTGGCTTTGTTTTTCCAGAATTTTTATTAAGCACATCATTTACTGAAATTGAGAAATAACTTTGCTATTGTATCTTTTTCAGTACTTGACTTAACTGTCCAGCTTATTAAGAAAGGCACCTGGGATAATTTAGTCAGCGCACTTGTTGTGTTTGCTCTGCGATATATATTTGTTAACCACATGCATAAGCAGTACAAACTGAAGTCTGGGCACTGGAAAGTAATTTTGAAGGTATCGCTTAATGTCATTCTCTCCACTTTATTCCAGATCTAATCTTCTTAACTTGTTTTTGTTCATCAAATGACAATATGTAGTTTCTTTCACGTAAGGATGACTATTTTTTTCATTGTTTTTGCTTTATACCGACTTATTAGGGTTTATATGTTGAGAGCCACCTGAGGGTGTAGAATACTCTCATAGTGGAAATGAAATGAGAGTTGCATTTCCAATATACTGCTAGTGAACCTTACTTGTTTGCTTTGATGCATGTTCATCCTTTAGTTTTTTGAGCTTAACTTGGTCCACTATTTTAACCTCCTTAATATCAGAGCTATTGGTTTGACTACGATGGAATAGTTTTGGGATTTTGTAAGAAAACATAAGAAAAGATGGAATAGCTTAGGGAATTGCGGCTCTCATATGTATTGGAGCCTTCTTCGAATTTTGAACAAGGTTCAACTGCTAATGAGTAGATTATATGGGAGTTTCATGTGGTTAAGTGACTCTCAGTGCATGGTGATCTTGAATAACTTTTGTTTGAGGCGATTTTTTAGGTGGTTTGGTTTGTCATCGAGAGGGAGATTGTGAGATCCGTATGAGAGTAGAGAAGAAGTCTGCATCAATGGGCATGACTAGGTGCTAACTCTTAGCTGGCTGATGCAATTTCAGCTCTTTTTGAACATTTTGTAAGCCGCAGTATCGCAGTATAAATAAAAGGAAAATAAAAAATGAGAGTACAGGGAAGCATGCACACTCCTAACCTGCACAATCTTCTTTGTAAGATTTCCAAATGACTCAATTTCTAATATAGTTATTGCAATTATAATCTATAATGGATTGCATTTATTCCCCCACCACTTCTCACCCCAACACACTGACACTTAATTCCTGGCTAAATGCGTTAGAATTAGAGGCCTTGATGGAACAAATCTGAATATATGATGCTTATCGACTTAAAAGTAGTCTTGAAGTTTGTTAGACGCCTGGCATTATTTGAGAATTTTTTACATGAAATGTTATCGGCCTGCAGAGTTATAGAAACTGGATTTTATTTCTTGTTGAAATTCAGCCTTTTTTATTCCATTGGAAGTAACTTAAATTATTTTCCACTGTTCAAATGCATTATATTTTGAATGATGTGAAACTTAAACAACTGGTTTAAATTTCATTTTATTTATTTTTCATTTTTGGTTATGCATTTTAGGTAGGTATTGATTTATTGAAGATTTGACTGCTGAGGTTCTCTGGTCATTTAGCTATGCATATCTATGAAGTTTTATGTTTTTCGAGTTTGAGAACATAAAATAAACTTTTAGTTTCTTTAAAATTTAACATGGTATCGATGTATTTGGCACAACCCAACCCGAGATTTGAAATTAACCAAGATGACAACATATAGTCAGGCGGGAAACTAAAATTTTCATTTTATCAACAATTTAACAAATAAAAGAGTCACTAATCAAAATAAGTTTAAGCAGTGTATTTAAAATTACTTAGTTACTGGTTGGCCGTGTCTTCTATATGCATTATCTCTACTAACGCTCATCGTTAATCACTTAATTAATCTGAAAAAGTTAAGTTTAGAAATGACAGTGAGCTAAGCAACCAGTGAATACTTATACTTCTAAATTACAATAATACGATGGAAAAGAAAGTAATATTCTTGCTGGTTAAGTTTTTTAATAAATCAATATAAATATTTGACATATTATTCAATGAATCTTGCTATATCAATAACATATCAAATCATTCTATATATGTATAACCATTACAGGAGCTCATTCTAAAAAATTGTATCAATTAAGACACATCAATATCAATATTTTTTTTCATATACATGCACGGGTAGCTTAGTATTCTGCTACTAGTATCATAAAGGGATGACTTTATCATAATCAGTCATGCATATTCAAACAGTCCGTCTCTTCAAGAAATACGAGTTGATATGCTATTGATAGAGCAAAATTATCATAAAAGGGATGAATTTATCATAATCAGTCATAAAATTATCATTAATGTGCTCGTTGCATTCAATTCAATATACTATATATTTTATATATACTCCTCACTTCATCTCCTTTCTGTTCACTTTCTGACTCCTCGCTTCAACTTCCCCATGTTTGTCCCTTCACTTCCTCTTCCAACTCTTCATTTTTTGCCCCTCTATTTGGGTCTTCAACACCCCTTCCACGAGTGGAAAAAAGGGAGCTTTACAGTATTTGGCCTAATCCCATGAGTCGTAAGGATGAAAAAATATGAGTTGGATCAGGTATGCCACCAAAATCCTTAGTGGAATTGAGGACTCCATCCTTTCTATGGTCATATGTAGATTAACTATAACTTTATCCAACATTTTCTTTATATTATAGTATTTATAAAAAGGGAAGAAATATAACCCTCTACTTGCAAATGATCCAAGATTCGTAACTTAAGATTTATAGAACATCTTAATTATGCCATGGTTGATCAATTTCATGATTAGCGGGATTCGAGAAAATTTCCAGTACGAGAAGTCTACTAAAGGGATATGTACTACCTAATATTGAGTTTGGTTGGGGATGCGCTTTAATTTAGGAAGTTGGTAAGGAACAAATAGATGGAGGTGTCATTGAATTTAAAGGCTCCAAGCATTATCATGCCTTTATGGTTAATATTTTTTGTCTTAGGGACAATGTGACACGAGATTGTCTTGCTGATCACGGGATCACAAATCCAGTATTCATGATCATAAGAACTGTTTTTTTGTTCGCAAGTGAGTTGAAACACAATGTCTCCATGATCGCTGCCAAATTGAAACACTCGAATCTGTCTTGATTCAATTTTTGCATGATATGTTTTTTATTTTCAGATTTTTTCTTCGATTTTCTTTAATTTCAATTAGGTTTCCTTCTATTAGAAGATTATATATGTGTATTTTGCTATTTTGGGGACAACTGGCTGTTGTGTTTGCGTTTTTGAAACCTCTTATGTCTTTGAAATAATGTTATTCAGTGTTTAATCCTGCAACTTCTTTTAGAACTTAGGACTTTCATTTGCACTATATCTGATCGTGCAAATGCCCTAAAAAGATAGGGGGATTTACACCGTACCGTACAGTAATCTTGGAATCCTAAAAGTGCTAGGACTTATAATTGCACAACAGGGTTGTGCAAAAGCCTAAAGATAGGGTGAAGATTTACGTTGCGCTAAGCAAACCACCTCGAAGTCCTATGACTTGCCATTTAAACTAAGGAAAATGTTTAGTTGCTGTAGACTTATTTTGATGTTACAGATCTATCTTGAAGTTGCTCTTCTATATGTCCTGGTCGTGCTGCCCTCGGTGTTTGCTCCAAGCTTACCGTTGTAGCACCTTCAGATTCGATGCTAATTTTAAAGGTACATGTAATTGTTTAGTCAACGATCTGCTGCCGGGTACCTCCTATTAAACTAACTACTTGCCTTCTATTCTGGGGTATAGTGTGTAACAGAATGATAAAGCATGGAGTACAAAAGAAAAGAACAGTAGAATGTACAGTAATGAAGAAGAACAATACAGTATGTTGTGAAGTAAAATGCTGTAATTTAAATCTAACTTGTATATCTGAGAGGCCCACTGCTCTTTTAAGCGAACTAGTATTTACTGTATAAATAAAAGAAACATTTCCTAGAAAACTCGAGAAAATCGACAAATGACCCATGATAGAAAACTCGGGAAAATCAACAAATGACAATTTCAAGAAAATTATCAAAATCACGGAAAGATCCCAGAAAAAGAACCGCGAGTGCTTTGCCCAAAAATTTCAATAAAACATACGAAAAATCTGAAAAGAGGGTACCGCAAGTACTCGGGTCGGGGCTAGCCTCAAATATAATATATTTGTACTCGAGGGACCTCGAAGACTACTATCGGTACCCGAATGTATAGAGCCCTCCACTCAACTAGAAGGGTGTCCTACTAAACCTCATTAAGGAGGGTACTCCTTAGCCCGGTACTAGTAATCAACAAGTGGACAATAAAGTTGTAATATATTTAAAAAAATTATATTTTAGCATGCCCGTGGATTTTAGGCATACAAAAGGAAGTTTTATAAATATTGTGTTTGTTCTTATTAGTTTTGAAAAATTATGATTGTCTACGAGTCGATTACGCCGTCGGGCATAGGACCGCCAACAACTTAAGAGGGTACGAGTTTCTCGCTAGTCTTATATCTGTGAATGATACTATCATCCTACAGTTTATCAATCCAAGGAATGAGTCATGATGTCGTAGGATGAAATATCATTCTGCTTTATCACCAGCGTGCCTTTGTTATCATTGCCCTAAGCCCCACAACAAAATCGACCTACTTGCGACCTTGCTTGATGGTTTCATATATAGCAAAAGGTTATACATGTGCACTTATGTGTCAGATATAAGCACTGAAAATTGAACCAAGAAGCAATGTAAACAAAGAATAAAAATGGGGATGAGAGAAAGGGGGAATTGATCCACCCAAATGGTTGAAAAGACGAAGGGTGAATCAACCCTCAAAACTTATAACAAAAAGACCTGAAAAGGAGGGCCCAAGATCCTTGAATCAATCCAAGATGGATATCATTTTCTCAAATTTTATAATTGGATCAACCCAAGAAGGGTATCCCCTTCAAATTTTATTTCGAACAGATCAAAACGGGTCCGAATCAATGTGACAATTGTATACACGACTCCACCACCACTTACATATTCACACACCTAAGCCTGAACTCAAATGTAGCATTTATGTTATTCAAATTTTAATATCAAACTTCCAAAACTCTTTTATGAATGCCTATTTGATAATTTTTTTTTAATTCTTTATGAATCCGATCTATATCATCTCATGTTTTCCAACAAAAAGCTATAGAGGCCTTCAAATTTCACAAATCAAGCAAATCCACTAACGACAATTTTCGAAATTCCGAAAATCTTGGAGACACTAAAGCCAGCCAATTCCAACTCCAACCAAAAACTTTCCATATCATATAAGCACGAAATCATCCAAATAAAACCAAAC